AACAAGAACCTTCCATAGCGAACAATTCGATGCTTCTACGCTTTCGTCTGCGAGCAGCCGACTGCTATATAAAGGCGACACTCAGCTGCAAGTCAAGTTAGTTACAAAGTGACCTCGTTGGAGTTAAAATCAGTAAAGTCGTAAAGTAAACACGTTGGAGATTACATTTAAGTAGAGTAAATTGTGAAAGTTGATGATAGTGATTGTAAATAGTAAATTGCATTGTAATTGAATAGTGAATTACTGAGAAAATAAAGGAAATTAGATTAATTCTTCATAAAGAAAGAAACTGCAAATTAAGTTGGCGAGTTTTATTTAACAATCCAGAGATCGTACCCGAAGGATTCAGAAAATCATCGAGGTTGATTTAGTAAAATCGTAAAAATATGTTTGCGTGAAAAAGTGAGCTTGCAAGCGCGTTAGGGGTTCTAGAATTTACCCGCGGTAAAGTATGCATGTCGTATAAGGCGACGAAAATCCAATAGTTCTCGCGACATCAGTCTTTAAATAGGAACGATCCGGATTTTTATTCGGCTAAGGACTGTCACTATCGCAACATTCCCCAAAAACTACTGCGGGGAATATTTGCGAGTTCCAAAACGTCAAAATACTTCGCAATGATGCCTGTGCACAACCTTATCATTACAATGCAACCCCGCATTCTTTAAATTTGCATAGTAACAATACTTAGATATTCGTGATATACTGGATCGCTCTTTGTCCAAAAAAGTTCATTTTCAATGAATTGGCTAAAATATTAAACAGATAAAAACAAGTAATACAATGTTCAAAAAGAGAATTAGGTCTAAAAACCCGTCATATTATCTTTGCGATTACAACAAGAACAGTAAATGAAACAACTATTTCCATACTGCAATTTATTCTGAACGAAAGATTTTGAATCCAAGTACTTGCAACCATTTGTGCATTTTTATCTTGTGCGATATTAAATTTTGCTGATAATCAAAACGATATTGCATTTAATGGAATTCGTTCTATTATTCAACCATGTTTTTGTTAACGTAACTGGCTTTCAATGTTTGCTTCATTTTGTAAACAACTTCAGATAGCGCCCGAGGATGTATTCCAGTTTCAATCAATCTGATAATAATGTCCAAAACCTTCGAGTTTAGCCCAGTGTTAAGTAGCTCTGAAATGTTAAATAAATTATGTTTAATCATCTCCGATTCCTGCAACGTAAGGAATTCACTGCTTTCTTTTTCCTTTTTATCAGAGGTATTTAAAACCATTTCCTTCATTATCACAGTTCAGATATTAACCGGTAGATCCACAAACCATATCGATATTAATCGATAATTAACCAATTATTAGCGCGCTACACTGTCAAATAAAATGTCCAAAACCCTTGTCTAAATAGAGTAAAGGACAAACAACGGAAACTATTTGGTTATCATACAATCATTTCAAAGAAAGCAGCAGGTACAACACAGAAGAGAAAAAGTTCATAGATAAAATGAAAGGGGTCAGCTCACATCTTTCCCAAAGCAAAGGCGGTCTTGGCGACCCCGGTTGTTTTTCAACCGCAGACGTGACGGGCTATGCGAAAAGAAGTTCTCTAAAGGTCAGAAAACAGTAAAACAAAAGGAAAAATATAATTAGTAAAAGCAATTCAAGATATTGCCACTTTAAAAATATTTCATATGTTTTTGTATGAAAATAATTTTATTTCCATTAGATTTCAAAAAATACAATACAAAGCCTTTGAGTTTTTTTAGGAAAAGATAATCAAAACTATCTTTTTTTCTGATCACATAGAAAGGTTTTGAATTTTTGTAATATGTTTTTAGGTATAGAAATTTCATTTTTTTTATAAAAGTAAATTGGCAGCACAAGAATAAAGCAAAAGTCAAGAAGTTTCATGTCCAGTGGTTAATATTTGTTAAAAAAAAATGAGTGAAGCTGCTTTGTTTTTTATTTCATGGGTGTAAAGATAAAAATTATATATTAGGCAAAAAAGTGTTAATATTTTCCATTGTAACATAATTATTTGTAAGAGGGTTAACAATACGATATTCCCTGACTCCAGCTGGCATTAAAAAATCTTTAGATTTGCCAGTGTGCACCTTCCAAAGAAGTGTTGGCTTCCGTTAAGATCAGAGCTGTGATAACCTGAACGATTTCATTGCTCCTTTAAGATGTTATTCGTGCCTAGATTCCAGATTAAAGCGAAAAGTTGGATGAATGAATTTGATTAACCGATTAAATAAAACGACAAAGAAGGAAGGAAGGTGGGGGTGGTATCTACAACGTTATTTACTGAAGCACATAAATGGGGGAACGAGTTTCTTTTGTTTAAAAATTAGAGAATTTTTATATATCTAGATATTGATATCATAACAGAAACGTTCTCTTCTTATCGTAAAAGATAGTTAGGTGTTTTGAAAGCTTATATATGTTGGTCACTAACTGTCAGCCAATATCAAAACTTTAAGAAAACACCACTGTTATGCTACAGTGAAACTGCTGTAATTTACCTTAGCAGTCCTATTCTCACTGTTACCGGTGAAATAAATTTTGTTACTTTTTTAACACCCGAAATTGACTTTGGTATTCTGGCGAACTGGTTATATTGTTTGAAAAAATTTTGGCAGGAACAATGGAGACATGTATTCCGTCTATCACAACAGGATCGTTCCGGTTTTGTGCTTTTCGACCAGGGTACAGCCAAATACAATAGCTTGGTGAATTTTCTAGTCTAGTGCTACAGACAACTATATTCTGATCAGCCTCAACCTATTTGGGTCTGTATCGTCGTAGAGGTTGAATTTTCCGACCCTGGTCTTGAAGTCGCCAAGTACAATTTTGACATCGTGGCGGGGGCAGCGTTCATAAGTATGTTCAAGGCGCTCTTAAAAGCAAGGATGGTTGGTTACGTCGTCCTTCTCTTTCATCTGGGCGTGGGCGCAAGTCAACGATATGTTAAAGAATTTCGCTTTGATGCGGATTGTGGCGATACGTTCATCCACCGGAGAGAATGCCGATGTAATAAATATTGCAAGGACCCACCTTCTTCCGTCCTTGTCCATCATCGCATTTCCTGGCCGGCGGTGATGGAAGCCTTTATTTTTATGAGGATATCAACCAGCTGTGCAGCCACACCTTTTCAATTAAGGGATCGGATATTCCAGGAGCTGGCCACAACCACTGATTTGAATTTCGACCCGATTCTTCCTCCAAAAGGTAATGTGACCTTCATTGATTTTCTAAACACCGAGGGTCTTAGAATTTCAAGTCAGAAATATATTCGAGAAGCGACAGCAGATACAATTTTTTTTTTTTAATTCTTATTCAATATTTTGGATGTTGATCCGGCCTGAACTGCTCTCTATACGGCTATCGCGGCCGGCGGCTTAATGACAAAGTCAGTCGGATTTTTTTATTGTAGTATTTCCTTACAAAATATATGGAAGTGATGAAAATTATAAATTTTGACAGACCACATTATGAATCTGATATTTTTCGTGGTGAGTAGAAATGTCAGAATTATATGCTAAAATGAGGTAGGAAAAATTAACTAAATTGTAAATTTTGACGAAGACACAGTAGAAAGCTCGTGAGAGAGTCGCGTATATATTTAGCATACTGGTAAAAAATTAAAATAATACAATGAAAATACTTTTCTTTACTTATGTTTAAACCAAAAACAACAAAAGCACTGAATTAAGTTAATGATTTGTTGTTAATTCAGAATTTAGGTTACGGGCTAGTCGCCAGGTAATACTTAAACAAGTATGTCCGTTGATGAAAGGAAAATTCGGGCACATTTAAGAATTCTTCCAGCACGTTCACAAACATTTTCCAATTAATTTCCACAAAACATCATGCCATGCGAATACGAAGCTATTTGCTTGTATTAAAAATCCACAGGTATATCAGCGGAGTAAAGGGCATATGCACCAAGCCAGAGACATATGCGAATAAAAAGTCAACATTTGCTGAAAGTGACAAAAATTGTAACTGGGAAACCAGTAAAAAAACATCAGTACCGGGAAGAGATTCACTTGGGTTATTTCGCTGGCGAAAAAGTAAGGCTGAGGGCGATGAATCATCACCTACTTAGTCTGACTTGATCACTAAAGAAAATTGAAAACGGCAATTGGTGAACTTCTTCCTAGTTGGGCGATGAAACAGCTGAAACAGCCAATTGGAGAATCGGGTTCGCCATCTCCTGGTGTTACCAATCGTAATAAAATTTTTTAGAAGAGGACGGCGATGTGACAGAAGTTCTCCAAAAGGTACCGACCGACTGACTTGAAATGTTGTCAAATTTTTTCTACGATTCCTGGGAAAAATTTTCGGCGAAGTGGACTGGGGACTGACCTATTATATATGGTGTGATTTACTTGAGATCCAGACTGACTTACACGAAATGTCAAAAATGTGGACCGATGTCAATATACATTCACTTGGAATTTTTTTTTTATTTTCTTACCACGTGCTATGAATTAAAATATTTCTATCTTGGGATTTTACATTTTCTCAACTATACACAAACGGTCGTAGCTTAGGGTCCTGGTTATAAGGACACCCAGGGAACTGCGGAGTAGATAAGCTGACCCTGGTAAACTCTGCGGTCCGTTATCTATTTTTCCGAAATTTTTTCTTCGATTGCTCAGCATAGCTTGCATGCCTAAGCATCATTAAACTCCTGAACTTCGTAAAATACATCAAGTAAGTTGAGCATCTAAAATGGTGAGAGGAATCTTCTTCGTAGAACCAACGTAGGTAGTATCATCAAACGATCAGGGTTGGCTGATCGAACAAGCTGTTTAACCAGCTAGCTGACTAATCCTAATATATTATATTTGGCGGTTAGTTTGAATTCAAAAGTATTTGGAAGTTTAATCGACATAAGGCGTAATTATAAGGGTTTTATGATGAATTTACACTGATCTAAAAAATCAACAATTTTTAAAACAATATCCTGTTTGTTTACAAAATTCCCTTAAAACATCTCATGCCTCGCCGCCATTGCAAACAGAATATTTGTGAATTTTATCCCCCCTATGGTAAAAAAAATTTAAGCATAGTCAATTTCATGTTTTTGCGAGAAACTCTTTCTCCCCGGCTCTGCCTCATGACGAATATGCGCACCATAGGCATTACGTTTAACAATCGATCGATCTCTCTCTTCTTTCATAGCGAGTTTCCAAGCGCTCGCTTCATCACTACTTAACGCCTTCTTAACATTTGTAGGCTCATCACAATTACACACCGCACTGTTTGTCTCCCAAATATCATTCTTCTGTAAATAATTTGTCAGTCTCTGGTAGCTAGCTGTTTGCTAATATCTTCCTAACATCATACAGAGGTGAAAAAGTCTCTTTGCAATCCCTTAGGCGGAACAATCGGTACGCCCCGTTCCTTCTCTTTAATATATGTTCTCTGATCGCACTCATTAACCAATTCTCTTTGGCCTTGTCTGTAATTCGCTTTGACTGACTAACTGGACATATGCTGTTCATTTTATTAGTATACAGCAGCTTCACTTCCATCGTATTATCATATTCATTGTTATACGATGTGTCCACATCTAACGATCCTCTATCACTTTCCTCCCCAGTAATTTTCCATAACCAATATCAGCAATCAAGTTCGGTTCCGCTCCCTTTATTTTTTTGTTTGTGTATAAGATTTTCGATACAGTCGGTATGCTTTGGAAACAGTGCGGTACCCTACAAATATGTATTCATCCGATTTCGAATCAAGTTTCATTCGGTTCTGTTCCGGTAGGTGAACCATCGCAGTACAATCAATTTCAGTTTTACACTAGACCATATTTCTTCCGTCCATCGAACATTGCTTCTACACCGAATACGTAGGCCGCTGTATTTGCAGCCTCGGCTCAAAAATGTTACCCAAATCAGAATCTTATAACAAACACATAACACGCTCCATAAAATGTCCGGCTTATTTACTCAGGGCCGCTTTTTGGTCGGGCGTATACGGAACAGTATGCTGATGAAAAATACCCCAGTAACCCATAAATTGCTCATTGCAATATTCGTTTCCATTATTTGATCTAAAAACTTCATGTTCAAAACCAGATTGTGCTTCTGCTTTACTCTTCAAATCCTTGAATTTCTCAATATGGCTGATTTGCACACTATCGGTATTGTAAAAATCTTTCGGGATAAATCATCAACAAACACCAACAAAAATCTACTGAATGCCTTTGTGCTTATTGAACCAAGAACGCCTTAATGAATTATATCCAATACATTTTGTGCACGTATTACAGAAGATTTATCAATTCTTCTCGTTTGCTTGCCTTTATAGCATATAATAATAATA